TGGAAAAAATTCGTGGTGTCAGAAAATGAGTCACAAAAAACTGAACTGAATGTGGATGACTGCTCACTGCGTGTCTTTGTCTGGTATCAAACACTCCTTCTTCCTCCATCCTCAACTCCCCTTTTTTTTAAAGCTTGTGTAATTATTCCAGTTATGGTATTAGCAATACTCCTGATATATTCCACTGTCAGCAAGATCAAAATCAGTCCTGGGAAACTGTTTTCTTTATGTATAGTTTCAACAGCAACAAGGCTGCAGATAACAGAGGCTGTACGTTAGCAGCCTGCCTTATGCAGAGCAATTACAAACCTGAGGCTTAGGAGCGGAAGATCGTTGCTTTTTTGCGTATCTTCTGTTCAACTGCCTGATCACAGAATTTTATGTGCATTTTTTTATGTTTTGCTGGATGAAAGCCTTAGCTGCCAGAACTGTTGGCATCGAACTTTTCTGAGCCATCCTACTGTCCTCACCCTGCTGCCTGGTAACAAGCCCTAGCATGGGTTTAACATGCAGGCCAATGTATTCCTCATTCCAGTATTTATAGACTTGTAGTCCTGGAGAACTCACAATGGTCACCCTGTCCCCACTCTCTGCAGAATTTCTGTATTTTAAATTGTGAGTCCCTGGATCAGAACTTTTCCTTGGAGATAGGTGTCCCTTGCCCCTAATATACAGGTCTGCACTTTCATGTATGCATTTGTTATTTGGCCTATTTGTTTCTGGCATCAAAGGAATAGTTTTCCCAGGAGAGATGGGTAGCTCCTCTTGCATTCCTTCCTTCTCGCAACCTCTAGCTAGGAGTGATTTCATTTTATGTGGACGTGCTGCTGCCATAAAACATTTCACAATAGCCTAAGGGCTAGAAGAAGTAAACCAACACTGCAGAAACCTGAAATCAATTTTGCCTGAGATGTGCCAATGCATATGGACTCACTCCTGGGAAAGTATATTCCGGGAAGTACCTTATTATGCTGATGTGCAGTAAGCGTATTTTAAGGAGTCTAAGGCAGTCTCTTCCCTTCTTTTGGGATTCTGACTGGGCTTAGATGTAAGATGCCAAGTTGCTCAAATAAGGGCAGTTCTGGGCATGACAAAAATAAAACTGTAGGTACTAAGAGGGGTTATGCGAAAGGGAGGTGCCTTCTGAGTTCAGACATGTTCCTGTTTGGGTGGCAGCTGAGCAGGGATTACAATTTTGGATTGAAATGCCTGGCTTTCTCTCACGTCAATCCTGTTGTTGTAGGTGTGTACATATTTTATTAGAGCTAGTCCTTGAAGGTCTTGATCAAGATACCTTGTAACTGCCTTGGCTGCAGAGGCAAAGATTGGAAGCTTTAGTTCTGTCAGACCTTGTGCAAATCAAGTCACTCTGTTCTCAGCACTTTTCAGTATCTAATTCCTTACTACTGAGCTGGACCATGAACACTGGTCTATGTCAACACTGTTCTGAACCATTCTGTTGGTTCTACCTTATTATTAAGTGTTCAGGTGTTTTATAGAAAAATCAGACTAGCGAGAACTAGTCTCATTAATGGGACTTGAATACCAACTCCTTAAGGCTTATGTATTGTCACCAAGCTTCGTTACCTAAGAATTTCATAGTCAACACTATCTGATAGTTGTAGCATTGTGTTAGCTCTGATAGGGTAAAGTAAAGCAAGATGAGGTAGGTACATGGCGTAAAAAAGCCACTCTTATTGAACTGAGGCAGCTGGAAAAGTAGACAAGCTTTCCTTGAGGTTTGAAATAAAAGTGTGAATCTCTACATTTTATTCAATTTAAGTGCCTAAAGTAGGATTTGATTCAGTGCTATGTGAAGGGGTCCTTCTTTCTCCCACTTGCAGCTGGAGGGGGAACCCGGGCAACAGACAGAACATCTAACACAGGTGACACTCACCCTTGGCCTCAAGTTGTGAGAGAGGCATGTAGAAAAGAACCTGCCTTGCTACTTACATGAAGCTCTAGTTGCTTCCATCAGTCCTTCCAACTTCTGCATCAAATACAACTATTAATGTAGCAAAGAAGTGAAGCCAAGCCCAACATTTTGGATTAATCAATGCAGAGTGTCTTCTCTGGACGATGATTCAGAGCAGAAACGTATCTTAGATCCTCTGAATTGCCTCTCAGAAGACATTTTCTTTTTGTTGCAATAAGCTTAGGAAGATTAGTATCACCAGGCTAAAATTAGCCTTTATTAATTCACCTTTAATTGGTAAATCCCTGCATGAAGAAAGCACCTTTATTTTTAATGCATAACTGCTGGTTCAGCATACCCACTGGAGGCCTTTAACTGTAATTTTTATGAGCACAGACAGACAACAAACAAGACTGGTAAAATGTCTGGTGTTTGACCCTGTTCCATTTGCATTTTTATTTAAAAAACCCCAAAGACATGTATTTTTCCACGTCTTTTTAAAAGAGAGTTAATAACTACAATAGTTTTATCTCTGCAGGTGGGGGAATGATCACACCCTGTAAAAATAAGGGACTTACCATTCTTTGGCTTCCACTAAATACGAATGTGTGGTCTGAGGTCCCAGAGCTGCAGGGATGTTCTGAACTTTTTAGGCAGTGAATGCCTAAGTGAACTTTTTGGATAGGTGGGAACAGGCTCTTCATTTACTAATACATTAAAGTTTCTGTTAAGAATTTATTTCAATTTATATGGTGAACAAGTAGGGTGGGGAAACATAAGGTACAAGTATAAATGCTCCAGAGTCAGATTTGGAGGATTTTAGGAAACAGCTCTTGTAAGGAAGCAGGTTAAACTTCTTTGCGAATTAAAAGAAAAAAGCCCATAAACACAAATCCAGGGTTAGTTCTGTATGTTAGTTGTGATTTTCATGAAAAACAAAATGCTGAAATATTTTGCATGTCAGAACTGAGTCTCCAGCTCATGATTGTAGATCTAAGGTCTGCAATAACAAGAGACAGGCTGGATTTGGAATGTCTTATTATTTATAATAGCTCTACCACGATGACGTAAAGTCTACTCTTGTTAAGAGTTATATTTTCTACATTCCATAGAGAAGATGCATCAAAGTAGATGACCCGAATCAGGTGTAAATTTTCCTACATTTGTCGCAGACAATGAGACCAAGTTTCTGGACTCCCTTCTTGTCTAAATTCTCATTTGTAAGTTTCTATTAAGAGATCAGCTGGGACGGTTTGTCCACATTTCAAAAAATTTGGAGATGAACATAAGGAACCTACTCCTACATCGAAGTGCACAGTTCAGTGCCAGTGCCAATACAGTCCCTGTTGTCCAACAGTGCTGTAAACTATTCACAGTATCAACTGTGCCAGACCTTCAGGATATCTGTCAGAATTGTCAAATCCACAAAATCCTGAGAATACTTGCCAGCCAGAGTTGCCCGGGGCAGATTCACACCTAAGTATTGGAGAGTCTGTATATATTCATGCTTCCTTCCACTCCTTTTATAGATAAATTAAATGTAATGGTCAAGCATCTAATATTTCACCCAAAGTCTAACAGTGCATTTTGTATTTTCTTATAGTAAAAGCACATCTGTTCCAGAGAAAGATACAGCTATAAAGTTTATAAGAAACTAACAGCTTTAATTATTTAATTACAAGTTTGCTTGAGTCTTGTAGCAGCTAGAGAAATGGTGAACAGGACTAATTAATGACAAGCCTAAATCAAAATAAGAACTAACCAAAGCCATTCTATTTAACTGTCTCAGGTAGCTAGAGCCAAATGACTTCAGTAACATATTTAAGAATGCATATATCCAAGAGTACAAAACAGAAAATAATACATTTTTCTCTGGGGAATGGTCTCATTCTCAAAATTTCATATCTGGACTTTAGGCTTTTATAGGACTCCTTTTAGACATAAGAACTAGTACTGATAGATTTATTTTCTTTTAAATGAATTCATCAAGGGGACATTTTTCAGTGGAAAATATCTTTGTAAAAATCCTTGGACACTGTAAAAGAAAATAACTCTCAAAAGAGTTCAAGTCTAGCCTGGCCAATTTTTATTTTCAAAACAGTTATTTCCATTTTTAACAAGCTAACTTCTTGATGAATAAAAAAAAACAAGGGAAGTTTCCATGGGCACTAATCATTAAGATCCAGTTTTTGAAAGCCATATGAATCCCTCTACAAATGTCATAAATGCTAAAAATACTTTTAATATACAAAGATTTTCTTAATGTATGAAGAATATGCAGTGTCAGCTAGCTTCAATAGGCCAATAAGCAAGAAAAGGACAATTCTGTAGCTCATCTGTAAAAAAAGCATGTGCCTGTAAAAAGAATTAAGCATTTTTTTGAAAGTTGCCAAAATTCTGCAGAGACCTGCTTCAGAGAAAGCAATCGTTCTGTATGGGCTTAATCACACACAGAGATACGTAATTTTCTCCTATAAACATGTTAAATGCAGTTGATAATAGTGAAATTGTATTCATGCTCATCCATTTTTTTACCTCTCACATATTTTGGAAGAACTGCATAGTACTCTATGCTGTTTGGCATTTAAAGAGTTTTTTTTAAAGCTGATAAATCTGAAAAAAAAGAAAGATCAACTCGAAAAGGGAAACCGTTGATGTTTTATTTATATATCTTGTGTTTGATAAGAAATTTGAGACATCATTTTAGAAAATAGCATTCTAAATCATACAAACATTTTACAATTGCAACTTACCATCTGTATTTAAAGGAAACAGCAGCATAAGCCCATCAGAAGGCTAATGTAATTTTAAGGTACCTCTGCATACGTTCTGTTATTCTGATTTAAAATGTCATATTCTGCCTAGGTGCAGAAGAAAGAAAGGCTTTTTTGGGGGAGTTAGGCTTTGAAGTAGTAAATAAGCAACACAGAGAGTCAAGTCAATAGGATAGGAGAATTAGACAAGGCTACCAATTACATTCACTTGCCTTCTTTAAGAGCTTGCTACCTACTTAAAGTACTAACATAGTGTCTATCGCTTTAAATATCACAGTGTTCACACCAATAATATACAGAAATAGGCAGGGTTGTGTTTACTATACCCCATTTTAATAAAAACCATTTCTCATAAACAGATATTTCCAGCTCTTTTGCACAGTTGTGTATGAAAACACTTATAATTTTTGCTTTTACACGCAATCATTTATAATTAATATACTAGAATTGCACAAAATTTACTTAAGTTATCTAATTAAGTTAGTTTAATCTAAAGTTATTTTTTGCAGCATCTCACTCTTGCTGCTTAATAAGTTGGTTAGAATTCAAATACTAGAGAAATAATGCATCAAAGAAAACCAATCAAGTGTAATTTACAAAGGTACAAAATATACAGCAAAGTTAACCTCTCATTAAATAAAATATACAGATTAGCTGATGTTACAAATCATTAGCTAACACCTTATTTTAAATGATAAACTTCTAGGGAGCTTCCCTCTCACCTTCAATATAGGAGAATTACACAACAGTTCCTTTCCCTGTATGTTTATGCAATGAGTCACATTCACTTTAACTGCTGATAACAGAGGACTGTGTTTATCATTTTGCACAGTGAAGCCAAAAATGATCCCTGGTGGAACTGCAGTAAAGTCAATGTGAAACCCTAGAGATCAGTTTTGTCTAAGGTATGACAGCCTATTCATTGAAATATTTATAGTAATAATGCCAATCATTATCACTGTGGTGGCTGTTAAACCTCCATGAGAATTCTCCTGTAATCTAGCAATCAATGTACCATTAAAATAAAGTGTTGCCAATATACTCTGCAACCACTGTTGTTAAAACAGCAAGCTATGAAAACTGCCTACTTATTCTTAAATGGATCTCCCTGATAAAAAATGAGTTTTAATAAAAATATCATGTTCCCACTTAAACCAGCCATTGTAATTAACTCTTTGGAATGAAGGGTAAGTGCTTGTATGTTAGGTTAGCAAAGAAGTATAACACCAGCCCTGACTACTGCAGTGTCACATCCCTGATGTTTACTCTTGGTCCAGGCGTATATTAACCATGGCAAAGCATCGGCCTAGGCTCTGAAAGAACGGTACAGCAAAAACATCTGTCAGGCTCTTCCATACAGTTTGCACTGAAGGCAAGACCATGAGACAGGTTTTCACAAAAGGCACCACAATCCTGTAAAAGAGAAAATTAAAGATGTGAAGATTGGTGCTGCTACAGCAGGGGGAAATAAGGATAATGAAACACAAGTGTGACATCTTATGGCAAAGGAAGTGATTTTATAACTCAAAATATTTAAACAAGTTGATTTCACTCTCTTGCAGTCCTTCTCCATCAATTTTGTTTGCTTACAGCCTCATACCTGCACATGCAGAAGCACCATGATGCATGTGGTCCTCAGGCCAGAATAAATTGTGTGCAGTACAGGAGACACCAGCTTTCTTTTCATCGTCTCTCTGCTTCCTAGTCAGAAATTTTTTTACATGCCTTTTAGAATGATGATATTTTGCTGTTCTCTCGCTGCTGCTGGCAGGGCTGGTATACATGATATGCTATAGCCCTGCTGCCATCAGCTGTGGCTGAAGAGCAGACTCATCTCCTAAAGACTTACTTGCGCTCTGAATATCTGAATGTGGTTCTTTGGGGCTAGACAGAAACACCATGTTCCCCACTTTGATTGACTGAAAACTGCTCTTTACAATCTGTTCTTGCTCTGCTGCCTCTTCTGGTGTTTCTCCTATCTGTCTCTCTCCCCCCCCCACAAATACACAGGAACACATGCACATCACCATTGGTGTCTCAATCCTGCCAACCTAACATCCCTGTTACAAGTTGCTACAATAAAACAGAAAAGGAAAGCAATATCCAGTTACATCAGATTACTACAGTACAGAGACATGCCACACTGCAGAAAAATGGGCTGATCCTGTAAATTTTTTCATTTGTGGGTGAGAAATTAACATAGAATGAGGTCAAAATGCCTCGTCAGGGGAAAAGATCATCGTATTTACTCAGGGTGCATACCTGAAAGTATTGTGCTTTCATCTCCTGAGCACTGGTAAGCAACTGGTAAGCAACACTCCATATGGGCCAATTCCAAAGCAATGTCTTTAGTGGTGCCTTTAGCCAAGCACACTAACAAAGCAGGTGAGCCTGAATTGCACCTATGGGCAGCTCACGAGGGCCAGTGGGTACATGATAACTGACCACATTATTTTAAGTTATTCTCCTTTCTTAATTATTTACCAGCCTAAACCCCTGGTCATTTCACTAAGTTGGATGTTCTTACTTTGGTGGAGAAAAATTAAATGTATAAATAACTTATGTAATACTGAAGTGTACTAGAGCAAAGTTTTAAAAGAATCTCTGTGCCATATAGAAGACATTTATTTCCTAAATTAGGTAAAAGAAGCTATAGATTCTTTTGATAAAGATAATAAATTCTGTTCTAGTTTGTCGTTGCATTCAAAATTTAAATTCTCAATCTTGCATCAACATAATTCTGCTGCATAACTCTCAATTACTTTGGTGGGAATGACAGAAAATATTTAATTTACTATTTCATCATAGGTCTGAAAAAATAAAAAAAAAGTACTGTGCATTTACATTGTGTGCCTCTCAGAATAACAGTGTAGAAAAAAACCCCTGACCCATTCAAAAATGTTGAAGGTTAGAAATGCACAGAGTCAAAATTAATTACTTTCACTGTTTATCTAACTGGATTCTCAGCTTTTGTCACACAATACAAGCCATATACTAGTATGTCCATGCTGCAGTCTAAGCTAGCCCAGATGGATTTAAATGAGAATAGTTTTTCTAAAACCTTCTCTTTTGTCTCTGCTGAAACAGCTAGTAATATACACCCCATATAGAACTGTGGGTGTTACTGGAATAATGTGTCTCTAGTTTTCAACCGAACACTGTAAACTATGTGCTTTATAACCACCTATAATACCACTGCATATAGAATCGATGATTTCTAGAGAATAAAATCAGGCCTTCACCTGTTGGAATACAGCTGATAAACATCAGTAATGCAAAGGAAAAAAATAATTGGTATTTCTCCAAGCAACACAGGGAAAATGCCAGAAATGGCTACTCAGCTTGTGTTGACTTCAACTCTTTTCCATTTCAGTTATGTCATTGTCCTTTGCTGTCATCTAAAATTAATTTGGCATGACTTTTTTTTAAAAATCTAACTGAACTGGAGAGAAGCAGAGAAGCTGACATTTCTACTGGACCCTCTGTTGACAGGATTACACAAAATACAAACTAAACAGACACCACACTATGCAGAGGTTTCATAGAAAGATGTAGAAGGCTGGAAATGCAGTGATCATACTACTTGCAACTGCTGTAGGGCTCATTCACACAGTATCAGAACTCAACCTATATTGATAATTTTAAATAAAACAAACATTAAAATGTTTTGGTAATGCTTTATAATCTTTTAGCACTTGCTATCCAATTTTATGGTAAACACATGCAAAAACCAATGTAGGCTAATTCCACAGGGACGATATATGAGACATAATAGCAACCAAAGCTAATTAATGTAAATAACTTTCAATTTTAAAATAAAAGTCAATCTACTTAGACAACAATTACTCAAACACCTTTACTCAGAGAAGAAAATCCTTTGCAGCCAAGAGAGCCGTAAAAGGTATTTTCTAGCTTTTAAAATATGAGTGTGTGTACATATGTATTCACATGTATGTAAGTCCACATCCTGTTCTGCATGGGACAGGTTATTCTATGGTGCAGTATTTCCAAATCATCAGAGGGTGCAATGTGTCTTCTGTGGAGTGACCAGGCACACTCAAAAAATAAATAACCAAATGCCATCAGAAACCATGTATTTGTTTTGTGACCTGACAAATATAACATACACATTCTTTACTCACAACGCTGTGGGTTTACTCCAGTCTGCACTTCTATTCACAGATGTGGTAACTGCTTGCTTGAATAATGTCTAACAGTGAAATTAAAGGTAGCATATCCCAAGGATATCAACACTGATGCCAAATACTGGTACTACTAGTGTTACCATGTAGTACAGCCCTGGGAAGAAAGTGAAAGCTCTGTTGAATTTGTCATCTAAGCTGAAGACAGCTACCTATATGACCTCTCATTGAATTTTGCTATGTATGTATTTATTATAAAACACCCATCCTTTCACTAAGTAGAATGAATTGTATCTTTTGGGAACCGTTGAACTGAAAAAAGCAAATTACCCCATTTTTTTCCATCCTATCCCATTTTGTCTTCATTCTGTTCAAGGCATGACATTTACAAAATCATACTTTCTCACTTTTACTCACATTTCTTTTTTTTCCTCCTAATTCCTGAGCGAATGTTGTCAAGAACCAAACACCTCTTGGAAATGGCAGAGCACAGTTTAACTCCCACTAATAAGGAAAATCAACTTGTCAAATACTTGGGCAATGAGGTTGGAGTAGTCACGCACTGTTAGTTCAGATTCCTGCTTCAAAGTGAACAGCCACATCTTCTCTTGTAATGTTTTTCAAAATGGAACCTCAGACATGTCTTAATGCTGTTTTTCAGATCCCACATGTTTCTGTGCTTAAACTACCTAATTACAAGTATGCACACATACTACATCATGATTTTGAATTAGAAGTCTTGTATGGCTCTACAATACAAGCAAGCATTGCGAAAAGATGGCTATCACCTAGAATTGTACAGTTTCTTGTGTCCCATTAACCCTTGGGAAGAGTGAGGCAACAGATAACCACCAAAGTCTTTCACAACTCCTATGCAGTATATGAAGTGCATTATAACCAAACATTATCTATTCCAGGACCTGGGTACACCGGAAAAGATAAAATTAGTATAAAGGAGGCAAGAGAACATCCACCTACTTCTTCTTCACAAACCAAGGGATATGTATTGGACATCAAAGAAGAGGCATCAAGGCAACACCACCACGTCATAAGGTGCAACACCACCAGGTCTTCATGGTATAGCTGCACTATAATTTATTTTGATTTCAGGCAGTCAGTAGGGAGATGGTTTTAGAGTTGAGTATGATAGTAGTAAGTTAAGTAAAGGAAGTTGTGGCATAAAAAAAAGGTAAGAAATTATGCATGTCCATATGTGCTTCTCTGCATGGGAGTCCCTGGCTATATCAGCACTGTGAATGGAAGCTCAAGCCAAGATGGTAAGAGTATAAAGCTGTGTGAGTCCTTGTGGTTTACATCCCAGACTCAAGCTATGGATCCTCAAATGAACCACCGATTACTAGTGTCAATATGCAACATACCCAAAAACTATTCAGGTAAGACTACAAAAAAGCATATATGAAATCCAAGTTTTAATTTCCAAGAGGTGGCAAGTATGTGGCTTGGAACAAGAATCAGCCACTGATCTATAATAAATATAATGGGTTTGCATGTGCTGCCTGAAAAACCAGAAGTGTCCTGCTCATGTTCAAAACCCAATAACCTTAACAGCTGCAATCTAAGGACATATTTAAAAGCTTGCTAATTTTCACAGAAAGGTGTTAAAGCTCAGTCCGGAAATTTCTGCCATGTATAGTCTGGGGTGAGAATGACAGTCATCTGCAAAGGAAAATTGAAGCAGACTTCCTTGAACTGGCTTATATATAGATCACCAACCTGCTAGCTGGCCCAGTTTCAGCCCATAAGTATCTTTTACCAGGTAGTGTAAAAGCAGATTCTGGCTCAAGAAGCAAGTTTGAGAACAGGAACAGAAAAAATTAAAGTATTATTACGTATTTCTTACTCAGCTTCCTTTTTGCTCTTCAGGAAGACTCACATATTTGCTTCCTTCTACAGCAATCATTTTTCTGGTGAAAGACAACATTTACCATCAGGTATGAGGGGGGCAACTTGCAAGGTGTTCTTGAGCATGAGAAATGTTGAGTCAGACTTCTGTGGATTTTATCATGCAACTGCAACATGTGTGACAATCAACAGAGCTTTGTACTTGAGTACTTCCAAAAGTTGTTGAAACACTTTTGAATTTAGCCTCAGGAAAGGCTCCCTTATGCGATATCATCATCATCTCACTGGTTTGGATGATGAATGTGAGGCACAGAGACTGTGAGTGGCAGCCTTCTGGGAGGGTGTGCCCAGGGTTTTCCCATGACATTTAAACAGCTGAAGACAGAGTTATAATGGAATTCCCTTCCTTTCACCCACAAAACAAGAAGTTACTTTTTTTTCAGACCTGATGGGGCTACAAGGGAGCCAATACCATGTGTTTAGGGCCTCTGTACCTGCACTACTCCTGCACTACCCTCTTAAATGCAGAAATGTTGAACTTCTTACTCCCATGAAATCTGGAACACTAATGAGAGCAGAGAAGCCAACTTATTTTCGGTGTGTTCCACTTCTGTGTTGAAACAAATCCAGCTTGGGTTTGTGGGAAGATGAGACTATTGGCTTTGGATGGTAGCACTGGATGGGGCTCAAGAAGGTGTAGATAGTACTACTGAATTACACGATCCTTTCACACCCATCCCAGGTGCAAGGAAGATCAAAGGGAGAGATCCCTTCTGTAGTGACAACAAATGCAGGGAAAGAAAATAAGTTGCTGAGGAAGCAAGGGTGTTCACAGAAAGTCAGGGGAAACTTTTCAAATTAAGTGCCACATTCAGACAGTCCTATTTCAGATGTACTGAGAACTCACAGTTCCTGAGACAGTCACTAGGGACTACTTGCATAAATAGAAACTGACCTCTCAGTCCTGGATCAGTGAAACTCATGTCTATGTATCCAGTCTGTGAAACCCAGATACAAGATCATTGTGAAGCACAATAAAGTACTACAGTTTTTACAAATTTGACACTGATGAATTTTTCCATAGATGTCCCACTACTGGAAACATATATACTCACTGTACCCTTAAGCAGTCACACTGTACACTATGGCACAGTGACAGCTGACAGACCTAAAAATCTGGGCACACTATGCACTGTTTGTTCATAACAATTTGGGAACCAGAGGTGTAACAGGTGGGCAGCTCTAAACTGCATTACAGCTCCTTTGGGTATTATGCAAATACTATGCTCCAAAATTCAAGTTAATCGGTTTACAAAGAGGGTAATGATGATGTCATCAAGCCAAACTTCCATTCCACTTTCATAAACTGAAATCTGCATCCACAAGATTGACACTATGGTTCAGATAATCAATGTATTTGTAGTGCTTTGAGTTTGCTTCCAGTCACTGTATTGTATTTTGCTTTCCTTAACAACTTCTTCATGATTCCAGTGTTACCCAAGTCAAATGAGACTTTGCCCCAAACTCATGTATATGCAATCATCCCTTCCTCTGCAGCCTGCTGGATTCTCAGTTCTTTCCCCAGTCTCATTCTTTTCCCTGCCTTTCTGCCTTCTCCACAGTCATCTCCCTTCGTGGTCTCTAGGTACTCTTCCCTAATATTTTGCCAGTGTATTATATTTAAAGTACATCAGGTTGCTGTGACTTGGAGGGCCACTGTATTTGTCTGTGAACTTGGGCCATGGCCAGAAGCAGCTTTTCTGATCTCAGCAGGGTTTTCTGCTTAGGTGGAAGGGCTTTGGGGCACTGCATCTAGAGATGGCCATGTACCAGATGCAAGACAGTGACAGTACATTTTGTGGCACTAACAAAGAGCGGACTGGGCCCTCAAAAGCTTTCTTCAGTCTGTGAGGAAAAAAATGAAAGAGGTAACTGTACTAAAGAGATGTCAGGTGTTAGTAATACTTCTACCTTTTCATTTAAAATAAACCTTTGAATAAATTAGGTACTTCAGTTTTTAAAAAACCGCAGTCATTACTATTACTCCAGAAGCCAGCCAAGGCTGGAATGCATAGCTGTAGGTGCCATCCAAATGGCAATATGAGCTGTCTGCCCCAAGGAGCTTACATAGTCATGACGGACTGCTGGTAAAAGCAAGGCAGGGAACTGAATCACAGCGAAAACACTGTTTTCTTTTCTCTCCCTTCAAAAATAAAGCAGCTGATTGACTACCGGTTGTAAAGACGGAGATGGCTGGCTGGGCAGTAACGCATGCTACAGGCGGAGAGCTCTGCGGAGCTGTCGGCAGACACAACACGGGCTTACCAGATGTGCAGGCAGCTGAGTGCCGCGAAGATGATCCCCACGACCAGGGCCAGGGGTATGGCAAGGACCAGCGTCAGGAGTTTGTAGATCACGTACTTGCTGAGCTCAAACAGAGCGTGGCTGCAGATCCAGACTCTGTCGAAGGAGTGGGTGAGCTCGGGCTCCGCGATCACATCCTCGAACCCCAGCTGGAACGAGAGGCGGCTTTGCC